AATTGCTGGAATTTAATTTGCTTTAAATCAAGACAGACAAACACAGGTAGATACATACAACCTTCACTTGAATATTGAAATTATTTTTATTCCCATTTCGCATATATATATAAAGATAACCAGAAAAAATAAGAAAAATTAAATAATACATTTGCTACCCACAATAATATATTTGCTACTCACTTAATAAGCCCCATTAAGTTTTATTATACGTAATTTGTTTGATCATATGTTATATACCAAACCTATCAATTTTCATTATCGATTATGAAAAAAAATTTAGCATAAAAAATGATGTTTCAAATTTGATTTTAATTTCAAAATGAATAATAAAACAAATAGGCTAAAAAAAGTATAAAACCATATGAGCAATTATGCTATAATTTAAAGCACGAATCCCTTACCATATATAATAAGCTCACACATGTCGGCGCAGTCCTATCTGAAATCCTGATTTTCGGGCCTGGCAATAAGATTTTCCGGAAGTTCATAAAGAAATTTTAAGTTTAGAATCAGGAAATTTATTCTTTTTCCTTCATAAAATATTATTATGTTTGGGACAACTTCTACAAAATTATCTTAACATTGGGCAACTAAAAATAAAATATAAGATTTTTATAAAAATTGAATCTTTTATAAAAAATTTTTATTTAGTTGATTTTCGTTCTTAGCGACGATAAACTTTAAGAACCCAAGAAGAAACTTGGTTCCGATTTTTTTAGGTTCTACCCGGTTCGGTTCCTTAGTTTCTTATCTCTGATTTTAATGATACCCAAGTATTTCAAACCATATTAGAATTATATTTTTTTCTAAAATCGAACTTAATATCTTGTAATAACCCCCCCCCCCCCCCCAACTTCCCTCATTTTCATCTTGAAATTACATCAGTAAATAATATTTTTGGAAAAATGCCTGTATTTTAGAATTGTATTAAGTGTAGACCTGTGCGCCGATGTCTCAATCAACGGCAGCGGTTTTTAAATTTTTTATCGGCGTTCGGCGGCGCGCCGATTTTGCCGCCGCCTACTAAATTTTCGGCGGCGGCGTAATATTGATTTTAAAATTTTTTTAATGAATAAAATTTCTAAATCAATATATTTTTTAATGAATTTAATAAATTAATGTATTACATTTTTTATAATTTATATAGGCGATCTTTTCTAACACATTGCTAACATAGTTTAATTGATTTTAAATTATTTTCTGTCTCACTCCTATTTAAATTTATGTATTTTCTCATTCTCAGAAATAGACTAAGGAATTGTATTTTTACTCAATCAGAGTCATATCAACAACACATATAAGAAATATTTTATTGATTTTTATTATAATTAAAATAAATTTGGAATGCAGGCAAAATATGAAGTATGAAATATAATAAGTCAGAATTCAGATTTAGCAAAATTATAATTGTCATGAATAAACAATTTTATCAAGATTTGTGGGACATAAAGAACTCCTTTTAGCATTGTGTATTAATCCAGCAATGGGAAAAATTCGCTGGGTGTACTGGTTGCAGGTACGCAAAGAACCTTCCTAGCTAAATTAGCAAGCGGAAGTTCCAGTCGCTTTTTCTTCCAAAAAGCAATGCATCCTCTTCTGGAATAATATTTTGGCTGAGCAAAATATGGCATTCTTGTTGAAGTAATCGTTAATAGGAAGGGAATGTTTTCGAGCTAATTTCGCAATATAAGAGCATGATGTACCATCCTCGACTTGAATTTCACGCTGAGCATTTCTATCATGCTCTAAAAGTTTTAAATGTCATATTAGAAATTGCAATGATGTCGTAGAATTTAAATTTAAATATTGTGAAATAATATTGAGATTTTGAAATCTTAGATCAAGTAGAGTTGCTAATATCTAATGTTTAGAATATAATTTTATTAATAAAAATATAAAATAACTTGAAGTTCAGTGATCGAAACCTATGGTCAAGCTTTTTTTTTATATTTTCTTTTAAGCATATTATATCTGAGAAATCAGATTTATTGATTTGTATATGACCTTCTATTTCACTGCGAAATAATAACCCTAAGTTTATTGTAGATCCTTTTTGGGAGGAAAGAAATTCCACCGACTCTCGGAATGGATTTAATACTGCGTAAAGCTCATCTATCATATCCTATTCATTATTAAAGAGTTATAAAGATTGTTTTCCTATTTTATTTAGAATATTATTTATAGGAATTTTGTTTACACTGCGAACACTTTCTAGCATAATTAATATGCTATGCCAGCGGGTAGAGCAATTTAATTTTAAAGTTTTTGCATTAATTGGATTGGTTGGTGCAATGCCATTTCTATTATCCGATTCATCAGACATATCAAAATGGTCATCAAGGTATGGATCAGAATCATCAATATCCAAGATATTACCTGTCTCATAAATTGACTGCAGACATTTACCATGTTCAGCCTCAATTTCACATTCCAAATCAGCTACTCGATATCTGAGGGCTGAAATAATTTCTCTAATTTTTTTAATGAGAATATCAATCTTGGTAACTTTTTTTATGCCATCAACTAACCAAATTATGAATTCCATGCCCTAAGCATAAATGATGCTCATAATCCCCTAATCTGACGCTTCTTTTGACATTGGCCCCAGCATCAGTTACCATTTGTATTACTCTTCAATACTATCAATCTCAGATAATATTGTTTCCCCAGTATGCTTTTGAGTCACATTTCTAGTTGAGGGTAAAATATTTTAAATCAAAATTTTCATCTAAATGATGAAGACTAAATGTGATATAATTTGGACGCTTGAAATGATCGGTCCACAAATCAAAAGTGATAGAACAAAATTTTGGTCCAGAGTCAATCAAATTTAAAACATGCGCCTTTATAGATAAATAAACATCGTCTAGTGCACCCCAACTAATAGTTGTCCTATTTGGCAATTCTGGTGACGAGGAACCAATTATTTATATTTCTAATTTTTGAACAATTTATTTTTTAATAATCATTTTATATAAATTTTAAACCTTTAGAAAGTCTGTCCTTCCTTTATTGTTTATAGAATCAAATAGCATTAAATCTAAGCAGAGATCAAAACCTAATTTCGCCTTATTAGATTTCATATTTATTTTAAACATTAATAAGATATTTAAAAACATTAAAATAGTTAGGGCTGGAATGAAACAAATTATAAATTAGATATAGTTTTAACTTTCAAAATAAAGCTTTACATAATTAATTTAATAAATTGTATATTAATTTTATATTTTAAAAGATATTTAAAAACAAAATAATTAGAGCTGGAATGAAACAAATTATAATTTGATTTAGTTTTATTTTAACTTTCTAAAATAAAGTTTTAAAAAATTTTATATTAAATAATACTTTAAAAAGATATTTAAAAAACATCAAAATAATAAGGGCTGGAATGAAACAAATTATAAATTAGATTTAATGTTAGTATTCAAATTAAAATAATAATAATTGAATATATAAATATAATTAATATGCTTTCTAAAAATTACACACGCCGCGCCGCTGATCTCAATCGGCGGCTTTTCCGGTGTGAATAAAAATACCGGCGGCGCACAGGTCTAATTAAGTGGTATTCTATTTATATTTCTTTTCTAATAATTGAATTAATTGAATATTGCTGTTTCTTATTTCTAATAGTATAAAATATAGTGAATTAATTCATTACTTTTTTTTCCAAAAAAAATCTTTAATATTTTTCATAATTAATATTGATGATGATTTGGTCTTTTTTTGATTATATTTTTGTTTTTGTTTTTTACGCTCAATTTCTTTTATATAAATTTATCCTTTTTAATAATTAATTGGAGGATAGAAATGATCACTCGTGGTTGAGGATACCGATTTTTTTTATATCAGATCGGCCCGGCCCTATCATTCCTTTTAATGAATATCAGTTATTGGCCGATAACATCTAATATGTTGATTAGATCCTATATATATATCAAAATGGCAAATGCAATTTTAATATTGAATCAGGGATCTAAAAAAATTAATTTGGTAATGATTATTTTTAATTGGATTAAGGCCATTTGTTTTTATATTAATTTATCTTCACTATATTTTGAGTAGGGGAGTACCGATACTACATTTTGGAGGTCGATCCTATCCGATATTACCAATATTAAACGGCGATTACCTATCTGATTTTGTTTTCCATAAACATAATTGTCGTTTTAATTTTTAGTGCATATATCTGTGCAAAATCATTCCATTTGAGCCGATTTTTTAAAAGGTTAACTTAGTATTTTAACCAGAAAAATATTACCCAAGTCTGAAGATTTGGCTCATAGATGGTACAAAGTGTTTGGCTATTAGCGAAATCTCGAGGCCTAGGCAATATTTTTCTGACTAAAATAATGAGTTAGCCATTTTTTAAAAATCGGATGAAATGGAGCTATTTTGCATCACCACATACATCTGCTCATTATACTTTTTAATAGTATAACATCTATAATTTAACACCATAACATAAGCCATTTAAATATATTATAATGATCAGTTATAGTTTTATTCATGAATCAATCTAAAAGAATGTAAAATATTTTTGTTGATAAATCATTTATATAATAACATTAATCCATTTACATAATAAGTAATAAACAAATATATTATGAAAATTAAAGCGCCATTTTATCAGATCTGCTGAAAATTTTAAAATATCGGCTCAATCCAATCCTATATAAAACATAGGCACATCATTTTGAGTGTATTTTTTATTCACTATAGACATCTTCCCAAAATGATATTATATTATTAAAAAAATCAGATTAGCTAATATCGATGATATCGGTGAAATTAAATCAGATTCACCTTTATAAAAGCTGCATATCGATAAAATGTATACACATCACTTGTGGGCATTTTGGGTGGCTTTACTGTCATTTTCCTTATAATTTATATTACGAACTATAATATATATTGTAATCCACCCTCCAATCCCTCCTATACTATACAATATTTATAAATAATTATATATTTTTTTTCATATTATTTTATAATAGGGGTTTCGGCAAGCAAGGCTTCCAATGTCAAGGTAACAACTTCTCCATCATATTATTTTTTTAATGTTGAATTTTTTTAAATGGAAAATTCTCTTATATTATACTTTTTTTTACAGGGGCATGTTTGAATCAGATCCGACCGGATTCGAATCATACCTTAATTTAAACATTTTTACTTACCTAGACTGATGATTCATTCGTTAAAATGCTTTTTGAAGCAACGTCGAATACGAATCAGCGGGTAACACGCCATTTTGGTTTTTCTTTTAGAAATTTTTATAAATAAATGAAACTCTGAATTTTTAAAAAAAATTATTTATATGGATAACATGTCACCAGCTGATTTCTATCGATAAACATTTAAATCAATAAATCGACACTCTAGGCATGTCATTGGGCAGACCTTGGCAAAAGGCAAAATTTTTAATAAGTTTATTTTCTTCTAGCACTTATAATTTTTACCGTTTTCCCTCAGTTCACTATTCTTTAAATTTTTTTTTCCGACATTATATCTACTTCTAAAATAAGAACTTCTATTAGTCTCGGATTTTTGGGAAATAATCGGATCGGTCGGACAAATTTTTTTCTTTCTTGCCTAACCTCATTTTTTTAAAGAATTTCTGCATCATATAATAAAATAAAGCTTTATACGTTCATATAAAGAAAGGAAGAAAGAAAGGTTAAGGTTCTAACAAAGAATTAATTGAATGAAAATAACTAAATGCAAGCAAAAAATAGAAAATTTATTTATCCTACTTATATTTAAATAGCCTTTTCGCTAGTGAAGGTCACGGTCCGGTCTTTGGTCCGGACTAGACCGATATCCTCGGACCGGACCACAGTCCTTAAGAAAAATATCGATCCAGACCGTGGTCTTAAATAAAAAACTTTTTTAACCTAATTTAATTTGTTTTATCATTTTATTAAATATAAGAGTATTATATAAACAATAAAATTTATCCAATGGTATTGAAGAAAATGATTTTGTGCTTGTGGAGGGCATATTAAAATTAAGAGTAGAATGTGTTTTTGAGATATTTTCATTTTCATCATTAGAAGTATATATTTTATGTTTTATCAGATGTCTGCTTAAGGTACCTAATTATTTTATTAAGAATAAGGTTAAGTTATTTTGACAATTAATTATTCAGACAGTTTCTTAAGAAAAAATAGAACTATATAAATAATAACCAAAATATTTTAATAATAATACTACTTATTTTGATTAATTTATTGCTTAAAAAATTATAAACAATTATTTTGTTACTTGTTGCTGACGATACATTAAATTTGGTACTGCAGTGAACACATACTCGTTTTTTATTGTGACTATAAGTAAAATGTTTCTTGGACAAACTTATGGTTTTCATATTGACCCTCTCGGATCCCTTCTCTTTAGTCTTGGAATCAATGACATGATAAAATCAATAAACTCTTCATGTACTCTATCGCTCCACGCTTGGTATATTGATGATGGAATCTTGAGTGGTCCCAGTAGTGAAATTGCCAAAGCAGTCACCATAATTAAAGAAATGGGCACAGCCATTGGACTTTCGCTTAACCAGAGCAAATCTGAATTCTCACTTTTAAATTCTAATGCTCCCAACACTCACGATTTCAAATTCACATCAAGCGTTGAATTAACACATCTAGGATCGCCTGTTGGAGGACACGAGGCAATAAGCACCTTTCTTCATTCCTCACTTGACATACTCCTTAAACTGGAGGACATCTTTACACTTCTTCCATCACACAAGTCCTTTTTTTTGCTAAAAAATTTCTTTTTTATACCAAGGATTCTTTACGCACTTCGGTCAACTCCAATTTTTAAATATCCTATTCCTCTCCAAACTTACGAAAAAGGAATAAAGGACTTAACCGAAAAAATAGTAAATATCAGATTCAACGAAACTGCTTGGGCCCAAGCAACTCTTCCAACCAAATTTGGTGGTCTCGGCATCAGATCTCCACTTGACTTAGCAACAACTACTTTCATATCGAGTAGTCTCTTGACAAAGCCAATAACCTCCGCCCATAATTCTAAAGAAGACCTTTCCTTAATTGTGGCTATGGATATTTGGAAAACAAGGATCAATGCTGATTCTCATCCCCCCACAACCCATAAACAGAAAGACTGGGATGCACCAGTGGTTGCTCGCTGCGTTGAAACTCTCTTATCTAGAATGCAATCTACCGACCGCACCCTATTCTCTTCCTTGCTCAATGGTACGGGACATGAGTTTCTTGAGGCCATCCCATCTACCAATCTTCAGCTTCAACTATCCAACAATGAATTTACCCATGCCATCGGCATTCGTCTAAATTGTTCCATTCACCCCCACATCTGCTCAGGGTGCAACTCGCCAGTTGACTCGAAGGGTAGACATAGTTTACATTGTCGCTCCTGCAATGGACGATTCATCAGACACAAGCAATGTAATACAATCATCCAACATGCTCTGAAATCCGCCCAAATTCCTTCCACGTTAGAACCACAGGGTCTTTTTAGATCTGACGGTAAACGTCCTGATGGGATCTCTCAAATCCCATGGAGGAGAGGCCAACTTTTGGTATGGGACTATTCCTGTATTGACCCCTTGGCCCCATCCAACCACGCCATCAACATCCTTGACCAGAAGGAACAACTTAAAATTTCTAAATACACAGAAATAATAAACGATCATTGCTTCATCCCAATCATATCAACCACTCTTGGCACCTTCAGCAAACTCGCCTTTGCATTTTTCAAAAAATTAGGATCACAAATCAGCAAACTCTCAGAAGAACCCCGAGAGGGTTTTTTTCTTCGTCAACGATTATCCATAGCGATTCACAAAGCTAATTATATCAGTTTCTATGGTAGCCTTCAAGCCAAAGAGCTATCATAGACAACGCTTACGTCCCTTTTTCATTTTTGTTTCCCTGCGTCACACCATCTCCGTTCTTTTTTTTAATAGTATTATTATATATTTTACTATAATTTGTATATAATTAATTTTTTATATAACTAAATGTTATTAATATATCTTTTACAAATATTTCATATTATATTATTTCATATTTATAATAAAATTCTTTAATTTAAAAAAAAAAAAAAAAAAAAATAAATAAAAATTAACAAAATCGAAAATAACTCATCTAGAAAAATATCATAAAATAAAATATACAAAAAAATTATATTAATTGAATAGTAAAGCAAATTTAAATAATAATAAAAGACTGGTCCGGATTACGGTCCTCAAAAAAGATCACCTTCACTACTTTTCGCATCCATTTCGGTTTGGTTATTAATAAACGACCTCAAAATAGTGTTAGGATTTTCATTTAAAAACTAATTATATATATTTCTGAAGTATTTTTTGTAAAAAATTTCAAACTATTGAAATAATTAATATAGTAAAAAAAATGCTGATTATATTCTCTTTATTAAAATTCCTTTTCTTTTAAAATTAATGGACCAATTTAAAAAAAACCCTTTTAATTCATATTGGTGCAACAATGTTACCGCCAATTTTTATCAAAAGTATGCACGTTGTCTGGTACTGCCACTATTATGATTGATTTGACTTTTTTAAAAAGAGTAACTTTTAAAACCTAAGATTTGATAGTTTTCCCTTGTTACAATAATCGTTTTATTTTTTATTTTCCTAAATTTTTACAAATAATAAATTGTGTGTACTTTAGACATTTTTTTAAAAAATTTGCGCGTCAAAGGGAATCATCGAAACGTCCCGCCGGATTTTTTTATTTAATCGTTATATATAAATGCAATTAAAATACTCATATTTATCAAAAAGCAAGTAGACATACAAAATGAAAATTTTAAATGGTATGATTATTTTACTTAATCTTTTTAAAAATTTTATTTTATTTAAAAATTTAATTTATATATAATTAACTAGCTTAAAAAGAAACATTTAAAAATCAAAATAATAAAATATGATTTTAAAAAGGAAATGTGTGTCACCTAACAATATAAATGGAAATATATATAAAGCAACCGACCAACAGAAATGATAGAGAAATATTATATGTATATATTGATTATTTCAATGAGCTGAAAGATAAATTTTAAAAAAATGACACCAATCATATTCTATAATATTTTAAAATTTTTAAAATTGTTTATATACAGTATTAATATGATTTGTTGTAACATATTTTCATAATGTGAAAAAACATTCTTATATAGTGAAATAACTTTCCATAATTATTGTAAAAACATTTTGATAAAATTTTTGATATAAATTTTTTTAAATTTTTTTTAATAATAAGAGTTTTTAAACTTTAATGAAGATTTACGTCAAAGTTATATATCGAATATAATTTTTTTATGTTTTGGACCCAAGTTTAAGTGGGAAAATGAGAATAAAAATTTTCTAAGATTTTTAGAATAATTTTTTTTTTAAATGCACATTATAAATTTTTTTAAATTTAAAGTATTATTACAATATATTAATGTTACTTTTAGTTATCTAAAGAATGGAAATCAGGATAAAAAATTTGATAATTTCTTAATAAACATAAGTGAAAGAAAATTCGAATTTAGGGTTTTCAGATAATTCTTATTTTTTTTTGGTTTTAAAATTAAATAAAATTTAAAATTCCGAAAATGACGCATACCAAAAATCATCGAGATGTGCCACCAACCATTCCATAACGGAAGCCCCGACACTTCAATTTAACTTTCCGTAATTATTGTAAAAACTTGTTGAGAAATACAACCTTTTTTAAAAAAACTTTTAAAAACTTGAAAGAAAATTTTGAGAAACACATTATATTTTTGAAAACTTCCGGTAATTAACTTAAATTAAAACTTATAATAATTCTTTCTTAAATTTGCGACAATTTTAATTTTAAACTTCTATATTTTATAATTTATAATTTTTTTTAAAAAAACTATATTTCCATTTTTTTAAATGTCAAATTTTACTATCGCTAGTATTTTGAATCTATCTCCAGTTTCAGGTTTGTTAATATAATATTCTATTATTTACTAACCTTATATATATCTTTTAAAATTCTTATTTTT